TCCACACCTTGGTTTACGCAAGCTGTGCGAGGGTTGGTCGTTATGACCTCTGGGACACCATGCGTGAGATTGCTGAGAGTATGGAGGGATTACCGTGGATGATTAGCGGTGATTTCAACATACTTTTGCATCCCGATGAGCGCATTGGTGGTGTATCGGACCGCTCAACGGAGATCTTAGATTTCTCGCATGCTGTATCAGATTGTGAGCTCATCGACGCTAGATATGAAGGGGCTCTCTTTATGTGGGAGAGGGCCAGAGTCAAGGAGAGGCTCGACCACGCTCTCTACTCAGAGGCGTGGACGAGGGTGTTTGCGACTACGGTTGTAACGCACCTTTCTAGAATTGGATCCGACCATGCCCCCCTTTTGATTCGTTGTCGGTTCTCTATTTCCCCTCGGCGAGCGTCCTTTCGTTTCCAGAACATGTGGGTCCGCCACCATTCTTACTACGATACTGTTAGAGCCTCCTGGCAGCAGGCTACGCACCTCTATGGGATGCACAACCTGGAGGAGAAGCTCATGAGACTCCGCCGTGTTTTGAAGCAGTGAAACTGGACGATTTTTTGTGACATTTCGCCTTACTGCAGCTCAGACTGCATATGCGGAGGCGGAACAGACCTATGATATGGATTCTTCGCCAGAGAATAGGTCCGAGATACGCCGCTGCCATGCAGAGTACAAGTTCGCCTCCTCATGGAGGAAGATTTCTGGAAGTAGAAGGTTGTTGTGCGCTGGGTGGCTGAGGGCGAACGTAATACCAAGTTCTTCCAGGGATTCTTGAGGCAAAAGCGAGTCAAGTTGTATATCCATAGTGTCGAGGATAATGGGTCATCCGTGATCCAGGAGTCCCAGATACGGGAGTCGGCTAGGGCTTACTTCCACTCTCTCTTTTCCTCTGAGCGGGACTTGCTTACGCGCTCTGACCCGGCCCTCTTTCCGACCATCCCGCAGTCGGTCGACCTTGTTGACCTCTGTGACCTCCCGAGTAAGGAGAAAGTCAGGGAAGCTGTGTTTGGGATCTATCCCAACAGCGTCTCCGGACTGGATGGTTTTTCGTCCCTCTTCTTCCAGTCTTGCTGGGAGATTGTGGGTAGTGACGTAGAGGAAACGGTGAGGGATTTTTTCTCTGGACACCAGATGCCAGAGTCCTTCACAACAACCTCCATCATATTGATCCCGAAGAGATCGGGACCTAGTTCTTGGTCTGACTATAGACCTATCAGCTTATGCAACGTGACCAACAAGATCATTTCTAAAATTCTCAACGGTCGCCTCGCCCCTCTCCTCCCCCACCTTGTCTTTCCGAACCAGAGTGGATTCATCAAG